GGGTGGATAATAAAAAGAATATCCACCCAGGAGGAAAAATCACAACGTGGGATACATTTAAGGAAACCTTACTAAAACAGTACTACCCGAAGGAAACCCGGATCAAGAAACAGCAAGAATTCAACTACCTGACTCAAGGCGAACGCACCGTTAGATCAATATGACCAGGAATTTATAAGGCTAAAGAGGTTTGCACCATCCCTAGTAGACACTAAGGAAAAGGAGACAGAGAAATTTGTGTTGGGATTGAACCCGAAGGCTCGCCCCATGGTGGAGGCATTCAACCCAAAATCCTACGAAGAGGCATTGAGGACGGCCAAAGTTTTGGAGGAACCTCAGAAAGAGAAAAACTCAGAGCCAACGGTTGTCGTAGGAAATAAATGCCCCATTGAGCCCAGGCCGACGGAATTCCAACCGCCGCCCTAGAGACCTCGATATCATGACAGGCGACCTGCCCCACCCCCAGTAGTTTGAACCCCAGGATCGGAACATGAAAAAACTCTATGTCCCGAATGTGGGAAACAACATTGGGGCAAATGCATGGCAGACTCCGGGGAATATTACAGGTGCAGTCGTACAGGTTACACGGCCCAATTCTACACTTGAAGGGACGCGGGGAACCCAAGGGGACCCCCTAGAGGCCCTACTATTCAAGAACATGCCACGCAAGCCCACGCACCAACCCGGGCATTTGCAACGACCAGTAAAGATGCGGGAACGTCTGGCACCGTAATGATATGTATGCTTTCTATGCTAGGACACTTTGCATTAACAGTGTTTGATTCGCTTTACCCTTTCATTTGTTTTCTTGTCTTTCGTTAGTCAAGCAGGGTTCACAGTAGAACCCTTATTGCATATATTGTCAGTCGGTACTCCAACAAAAGTAGACTTAGTGACTGAAAATAGAGTAAAGACGGACAAGTAGTAATATCTGGACGAACCATCCAAGTAGACCTGAAAGTAGTAGATATAATGGATTTCAACGTCATATTAGGAATGGATTGGCTAGCCAAAAACTTTGCTGGTATAGACTGCCATAAGAAAGAAGTAGTATTCACACATATAAATGGACTTACCTTTAAATTTAAAGAAACTTGCACAGACACCACCAAAAAATAATATCGATGATGAAAGCCAGACGCTTGGTACAACAAGGGAGGTGGGCGATTTTAACCTATGCAGTAGACACATAAGGAAAAGAGAAAACAATGGATAATACCCATAGTAAACAAATTTCCAGATATCTTTTCAGAGGACCTCCTAGGAATCCCTCCTTCACGAGCAGTAGACTTCGAGATAGAACTTGAACCAGGAACGGGACCCATCTCTAAAGCCCAATACCACATGGCCTCAGAAGAATTAAAAGAACTTAAACTATAATTACAAGACTTAGTTAGATAAAGGCTTCATTCGACTTAGCGATTCCCCTTGGGATGCACCAGTGTTGTTTGTTAAAAAGAAAGATGATTCGATGCGTCTATACATTGACTATAGAGAACTAAACAAGAGAACGAAAAAGAGCAAATACCCATTACTACACATCGATGACCTATTCAACCAACTTAAAGAAGCAACAGTACTCAAAAACAAACCAAGAAAACCAAAAACACCTTCGAAAAGCCCTAACTATCTTAGGATACATAAAGACACACAATTGAAGTCGTCACGAAATGGGAAAGCCCTTTTTACGTTAAACACACACAATTGAATTAAGTGGGAAGTACACATGTGGAAGAGTGTTAGATAAATTGACATTTACTTTACTATTTTTTTTAGGATAATTTATTATTTAAATATCCCAACTGAATTAGAAATGAGATCTTGGGGTCTTCGGTCAAATATTCTCTTTCCTTTGTTTTCTCTTATTTTTTCTTCGAAGAAGGTTTCCTTCGCCTGTTTTTATTCTGTCAACGATTTCCTCGCAATTGTCAGAAGTCAACATGCTCAACTACGATCACCGAGGTACAGCAAGGTCATTACTGATGACGGCCGGAATGTCTGGGAGATTCTGGGGAGAGGCGGTAATGACGGTCGTCTATCTCCTCAATCGGTCACCGACGCTACACGAGGCCTGGTACAACAAGAAGCCAGCAGTACGTCATCTTCGAGTGTTCGGCTACGTCGCATACATGAAGGACGTGCATCCCCACCTCGCCAAGCTCGATCCCACGGGGCTGAAGGTCGTCTTCATCGGCTACGAACCCGGAAGAAAGGCGTACAAGTTCTATGATCCTGCGGAGTGGCAAGCTCACGTGTCGCACGACATCATCTTTGACGATACCACCTTTTGGCAGTGGAACGACGTAACTGAGGCAGATCAAAACCCAAACCAATTCACTGTGGAGTACCTCATCACCGAGCCGGGAGAAGGAGGAGCACAACATCGGGAATCGTCACTACCGCCAGCAACTGCACCGGGCACGCCTATGCCAACCCCTACCATAACTCTAGCTGCAACCCCTAAACTAGTGGAGTTCGCTACACCACGTACTGCAGATTCGATGTTCGATGCCGATCACGATGATGGTCTGGTGGCCAGGTACTGGAGGATGGAAGACCTACTGGGAAGAGGTGAACCACCTGGACTGGCGGCGCGCCAACTCGAAGAAGAGGTGACCAAACAAGACGTGGAGTTTGGAGGACATGCTGCCAGGGACACCGAGCCATAGGGCTAGAATTAGAGTTCAAACAAAATAAGGTATACGATAGGGCTTTAGGAGGAGATTGTTAGATAAAATACTAACGAGTGAATGTGATCCCTAACTTTTACTTTTAGTTAACTATTTTTTGTTAGGTAACTATTTTTAATTTAAACCCACAATTGAAGTAAGTGGGAAGTACACGTAAGTGCAAAGAGCCTTGTCTAAGTTACCATTTATTTTACTATTTTTAGGATAATTTGTTATTTAAATAAATGAGAAATGAGATCATCGGGTCTTCAGTCAAATATTCTCTCTCGTTTGTTTTCAGTTGTTTTTTATTCGAAGAAGTTTACTTCGGCCGTTTTTATTCTGTCAAAGATTTCCTTGCGATTGTCAGAAGTCAACATGTCCAACTACGATCATCGAGGTACGTAGTTTCTTGGGGTTGACAGATTACTATCGAAGGTTTGTCCAAAACTTTGCTAGGATAGTCTCGCCTCTCACCCAATTGATAAAAAGGGCGTAACTTTTTCGTGGGATGATGCCTGTGAGGCTAGTTTCTAAAATCTAAAACAAAGACTAGTGTCCATCCCAGTGCTCATGGTCCAAGAAAGATCTACGAGATAGTGATATACAACAACGCATCGAAAAAGGGGCTAGGTTGCATATAGATGCAACATGGCAAGGTTGGTGCATACGCGCCACGTCAGTTAAAAGATTACGAGAAAAACTATCCAACGCATGAACTAGAACTAGCAACGGTAGTGTTTGCATTAAAAAATTTGCGACACTACCTGTATGGCGAAAATATCCAAATTTACACAAACCATAAAAGCCTAAAATACTCATGACACCCATCAAGAACTAAACATGAGACAACAAAGGTGGTTAGAACTATTGAAAAATTACGATATAGACATCCAATACCATCCTGGAAAAACAAACATAGTCGCAGACGCATTAAGTTGAAAAACGGTACACTCATCATCCCTCATCACAAGAGAGCCATGAATGCAAGAGAATTTCAAATGAGCTAACATTGCGGTAGTAACCGAGGAGGTAATAGCTCAAATAGCCCAATTTACATTGTGACCCACACTCAGACAAAGGATTATAGTCTCACAACGAGAGGATCCTAGTCTAAATCAAATTCTAGACCAATTAATAGCAGGCCCAGTGAACAATTTTTCCAAGTCATCAGACGATGGACTGTTATGTCAAGGACGTTTATGTGTCCCAGCTATGAGTGAAATAAAGAACGAAATCCTAATTGAGGCACACAACTCACCCTTCTCGATACATCTAGTGGTACGAAGATGTACCAAGATTTGATACAACACTTCTGGTGGCGAAGTATGAAAAGGCTATCGTGGAGTATGTGAGTAAATGTCTAGTGTGCCAACAAGTAAAAGCCCATAGGTAGAAAACGGTCGGACTGCTACAACCTCTAAGTATACCAGGTGGAAGTGGGAGAATATTGCTATGGATTTCATAGTAGGCTTATTCAGAAAATTAAAGGGTTACACGCTAATTTGGGTAATTTTCGACCGACTAACAAAGTTGCATACTTCCTACCGGATAAGGCAACATATACAGTAGACAATTGGGCTCAACTATATATGAAGGAAATCGTGAGGTTGCATGGAGTCCCAGTATAATAGTGTCGGACCGGGAACCACGTTTTATGTCGGCCTTTTGGCGTGGACTCCAAAAAGCATTGAGTACCAGCCTCGACTTTCGTACTGCCTTTCATCCACAGACTGATGGTCAAAGGGAACTACTGAACCAAATCCTAGAGGACATGCTTCGAGCGTGTGTTATAGATTTCACAGGAAGTTAGGACACCAAAATGCATTTAATGAAATTCTCGTACAACAATTGTTTCCAAGCCACAATTGGGATGACACTATTCGAAGCGTTGTATGGAAAATGGTGTAGGTCTCTGTTGTGATGGGATGAAGTAGGTGAATGAGAACTAATAGGACCCGAGTTAGTTCGCGTTACAAACGAGGCAATCCAGAAAATTAGTGTAAGGATGCGCACCACGCAAAGTAGGCAAAAGTGCTACACCGACATTAGACGCAGGATCTTGGAGTTCGAAGAGGGAGACTTGGTATTTCTAAAAGTGGCTCCCATGAAGAGCGTCCTAAGATTCAAACATAAGGGCAAGCTAAGCCCCCGCTTCATCAGACCCTTCAAAATCCTAGAACAAATAGGCTCAGTATCATATAAGTTAGCCTTACCACCTTCACTCTCGAGCATACACGATATATTCCATGTGTCCATGCTGATAAAGCACGTTACAGACCCTACGCACGTAATAGACTACAGGCCCCTCGAGATCAAGGAAGACTTAAGTTACCAAGAGAAACCGAATAAGTTACTAGCTCGGGAAATGAAAGTCTTACATAATAGGGGCATAGGTTTCGTCAAAGTATTATGGCTGAATCATCAAAGAAGCTATATGGGAACGAGAGGAGGGAATAAAGGAAAATACCTTGAATTAATCAAGGCGTTTGAGACTTTTGAGAACGAAATTTCTTTTTAGGGACAGATAATGTAATGAATTTTTTCGTGGTCTCCAACAAGACCCGAAAACTTCTATGAATGCTGAAGTTTTCATTCTCACATGACCCACGACCCAGCCTAACCTTCGGATCACCACAACGAGCATCATAAGTCAGCCACCTTCGAAGGAACGTCATCACCTACAAAAGAGGGAAACAAGAGAGTGAGAAGGAGAGAGAAAGAAAATCGACGAACTCTGGCGAGGTAAAAAACATACAAAATCGATGTCGAAATCTCCGTTTTTAAGCCACGAAAGGAATCACAAAGACCGATATATACAGAAAAAAAAAAAAAAAAAAAGACGAGTTTAGGTACCCCATACACGTCGTACACCCTCGAAGAAGGAGGATTAAGTCTCGAGTTTTCAGATCTCCTCAGATCTGGGAGTTTTCGACCCTTACGAGTCGAACAAACACGAGGAAAGGGAAGAGGGAGGGGAATTGTCTCGAAAATGAAAGAAAACGAAGGAAAAACGGACACCGGAACGGCGTTATCGAGGAGAGAGAAAAGTTGATGGAATCTTTCTGGTTAAACGGGTGAAGAAGACGAGCCCAACCGATCAACTCGGACCCACGACCAGAACTGGAGTCCAACCCGTCTACAGTAACCAAACCCTTTGCAGCCCAACTCACGCGATCCTGCCTACGGCTCAAAATAACCGTGCCTCGGCCCAACCCAATCCACGCCTCGGCCTAACTCAATCAGCCGCGACCCGAAACTGCAAATCAAAACTGACAAGTGACCCCGTCCAAGTTCTACCGCCCAATATCCTTGACCCACACATCAATCTAGTCCACCTGCAGCCCAACGATAGGGTCCAGCCCAGAACCCATGACCAAACCCCGACTCGCTTGGCGACCCATGCCTCGACTCGACTTCAACTTGCACACATGGCCGCTTCTGGTTGTGCCACATGCCAGCGTCTGATGCAAAGTCCCCCTCGACTCTAGCAGCTTAATGGCTTGGCGGCGACTTCTCGACTCAGGAACCCATTTTTGGCTCATTCCGCACTGTTTCGACGCTCCCTGACCTGATTTTGACCTCGCTTAAGGTAAAATAAGTCGTTTTAAGGCAGTGTTGCACAATTTCAAGTTGGAATATGTTTATGTTTGTGAAATACTAACAAAAAGTGTTTGAACGATCCAATAGGAACTAATCACCGACGATAGCATACAAGGAGCTAGGAGCTTACGTTATAAATTATAGGGAGTACATCGGCTAAGGCCTACCAAGTAAGTTGCCCTACCGTCGTAGGTTATAGCAATTTGTATATTGTATGTTGGCACGTGTCTGTGGTTTGCATGTGTCATAAATTGTATGTTTATACTGTTATGACTTAATACGTAAATATATGTAATGTGAATGTATGCTGTTTTGGAATGATTTGATGTGCGATATAATGTGATGTGATATGTTATGTTTAGATTGTTTTATGTGATTGTTGAGATGATTATTATATGAATCGCACGTCATGAAATTTTACGTTAAAAGTATGGAATGTTATGTTATGTCTCCTCAATTGTATGTATACAGCATGATATGAATGAAATGAAATCATGATAAATGGTGTGAAATATAACCCGTTAGAATTATGCATGATAGGAGAACTAAAAAATGAGAAATGATACGATATGAATGAAAAATGATAGCGGAGTTATAATTAATAATGTTGAAAACAGAAAATTATTGGGACCTCATGCATTATGTGTGCTCGTGCATTGGGGGATACCCCAATTCCATCACGAGGGTAAGAATGTGTACACCACTAGGTAGGTGAAGTATCATTATGTTTTACATAATGCTACCGTGACGGTTACTAATTCTAATGAGTGTCCGGCATAAAGAGCTACTAGAGCAGGCTCGCTTGACAAGAAAAGGGGTCCAGAGGAGTGTGAACAGACTGGTGAGCCCATACCCGCACGTATGGTCTGTGTGTAAAGTATATGGTACACATCCAAGCTGCTCGTTAGGCTAATGCCATAGGAAAATAGACTGATATGATCAGTCTTGTCATTGCATTCACATATTCTTGTTGCATAACCCCAATAGAGGGTCGTTTACTGAGTATTCTTAAAATACTCAAGTCTCGTGCTATTACATTTTTCAGATAAAGGCAAAGCGCCCTTGTGAGATCAACAGAAGCATCGCAAATCTCGTGACCATAGCACATGCATAGGATAGATTTGCATTTCAAATTTAATAGTATAGGTTAGTATAGATTGAATTGCATTTGTAATAATAGTATAGGTTAGTATGGGTGGATTATAATCATTTTTCTCCTTCTTTTTTTTTTTGTATTTATTTATTCACGAGGTAATAAAGGAGGTACGAATTAATATGTTGAAATTATAAAGAGTTCATTAAAGTAATTCCACATTAAATGTAAGGTTAAATGTACGGTAATTACCTTAGGTTAAATAGAAAAATTTAGGGCTATTATCTATTAATTGTATCGCTCATGATTGAACATGCACACACGAATAGCGTGTATAGCCGAACAAGTTTAGATTTCGCGGAAGTGATGTTCGGTTGGCAAGGCAGTCCAACGAAATACAAAACTAGGCAAAAAATGAATATGGGGCTTGAGTTCCTCTTAAGGCATGTCGTGAGCGTATCAAGATCACGACACTGCACGGTTAAAGATGTACGACCGTAACAATTGGTATCAGTCCTAACTAGATATAAAACGTCACATCAAACAGATAAATTACGAATTAATTAAACTTAAAAAAAGAAGGAAAGAGAAGAATAGAGAGTGTGGTGAGAACGTGATGCATTCCCATGCACGTGGAAATGAGAAGCAAAGCCGACTTTGGTGTTTGGCGGCACGAGGATGCCACGAGCATTCGTACTCTTTAAAATCGTACTTTAAACCAAACCCATTTGGAACTAACCTCTTTAAACTCTCATACACATTTAAGAATAACCAAACCTTTTGGAACTAAGCCCTTAGAATCTATTAAATAAATATTATTATATATATTAATTTATTTATTTATTTTAAAAAATATTAATTTGGGACCATTTTCAATCCCATCAACTTGGTATTTTAGAGAGAGAGAGAGAGGAATCTTAAAAATGTTTTTTTTTAAAAAAAAAAAGACAAAAATATTAATTTTAAAATTATATATTAAGAAAATAAAAACTAGTGAACTATTATAGTTGATTATTCATTAAATTATTGTGAGAGTTGAATTTATTTGTGAAGATGTGGCCAGCTTGGAGCCTAGTCATCAAAAAAATTATATTAAAAATTGATACATTTTGCCAACTCAGCAAAATACAAACATTATTTTATTATTATTATTATTATTTTTTTTTTTTTTATGGTCAAATAAGTTTTAAGGATGTTTAGAATCGATTTGAAGTTTTGTATAACATGGGTGGACGGATCAAATAATTGGGACGTATTAATGATACGATATATGTTATGGTGTAACACATTAGACGATACAAAACATGTTGTGATGTGTTTATGATATGATATGATATATCAAAGAATATGTTATGTGTATGATATGACACACCCTGATACCTTAAAGGCTATGTTAAAAAATGATATGATAGGAAGGAAAATGGAAGGGGTTATTTTACAAGATAATGAATGAAAATGTTCGGACCTCATGCATCATTATGTATTCATGCATCTGGGAATATCTCCTTATATGATAGTACTGACGCGTATACTACGAGGTAAGAAAATGATCATGATGTTTATCATAATGTTGTGATGGTCGCTATACCTAACAGGTGTTTGGCATCAACAGCTCTAGAGAATGCTCGCTTGACCAAGAAAGGGGTCCATTAGGTGTGCCAACTGATTAGTGGGTCCATACTCACACGTGTGGACTGTGTAGAACAGTAAATACACATTCAATTACCCGTTTAGGATAGCCGCCTAAGGGAATATAGACTTGAAGAATAGGTCTTATTCATGATTGTATGTCTTACATCTAACACGAATAGTGGGTCACTTACTTTCCTAAAATGATCAAGCGACATGCTATTTCTATTTTAGGTAAAGGCAAGACATCCTTATACGTCTGACGATGACATCGCAAGTCGAGACCATAACACATGCATAAAATAGTCGTATCTTATTTTTTGGACTTGGGTTAGAATAGGGTGTTTTTACCTTTAATGTTTATTTATTTTATTTAGTATTTAGTTATGTCTTTTTAAAGATGTTTTCGAAACACATACCCATGACAGTGTTTTATGTTGAAGTTTCAAATGATTATTTCCTATGTATACAGTAGCGACTTTAGACTATCAAAAATCTAGGGTCGTTACAGTCGGTATCAGAGTTCTAGGTTATAGATTCTGTAGACTAACCTACGAGGTAGACTTGACACGTCCATAATTCCACCGTTGAGGCCCCGTCACCGTCAAGTATGTCATGCGTAAGATAAGAAAAGAAAACATTTCAACCAAAAGTATCGAATATAGTTAAAATAAGCAGTGTTATGACCATCTGATCTCTCGATCCTAACGATGGGTGCATTATTCTTTAATTTTTATCTTACTTTTCATTAAATTAGTAAGTAAATTAGCAAACAAGCAGCTAAGTTTATAAATATATCTTAATTTTATTCTTAAAAAGGAAAAAAAAAAAAAGAATCTTACCCTAAAAATTATCATCAATTTGGATAAGAGAATTACCAGATACATGCATCAAATAAATTTAAATAAATAAATATATATATATATATATATATATATCAAAACTTATATAAAAATATAGACAGGTCACATGAAGAGAGAGAGAGAGAGAGAAAACATATATTATATAGTTTTATTTTTCCCTCCAATGATTATATTATATAGTTGAGAAGCATATAATATAATAGGGTAGTTTGAGGTGAGCGTGTAGCACCTGAGACTGTATAAGCAAGGTGTGGTGATGCGCGTGCGCCAGCACGTGGATTTCGTTGAATGGCACGTGTATCTTACCAAACAATCTCAATCAGCGCGTGGTCAAGCCCGTTGTACACGAGCCAATGATTCTTCATATAAACAAATAACCATGTCATCTTATAAATTTTATGAAAAGATTCCCAATTTAATACTTCATTAATTCATTATGTTCTATATAATACTAATCTCGAACATCGTTTGGAGACGGTACTAAATTACAATGAACACATACTAGTTTAAATTATAAGAAAATATTTAAATATAATTTTTTGACAAGCTTAGTGATCTCGTCAAATCGTTAAATTTTTTGACTCTTATCTATCACTGCCTCATAATCTCGATGCTCTGATATACCCTTGTCACAAGCTATGCACGTTCACGTATAATAGTTTTCACAAGGTAACCTGATATTTAAACATGAGGGGAGTGATCTCGTGCTTGAATCAACTACTGAGATACACATGTAAACTAGCTCAATCTATGTCATTTGTTGTTAAAGGCTAGTTCGTGAATGTATAATAATCTCCAG